AATCACGTAACTATTCAGGTCATGCCGGCAAACCTGGTACGCGCGGTGTCATAATGATGGCACGAGTGACAGAGTTTGCATGATGCTACGCTTGTGTTTGTTAAAGTGGGACATTTTGTTACACAAAAAAACGGGACACAAACTTTTAAATCGGGACCGTCCCGCCTAAAGTGGGACGTATGGTCACGTTAGCCATTCCACATAATATGTAATATATGAAACTCTCTCGAAAATTATTTTAAATATAATTTATATTATATTTAAAATAATCCAAGGGTATCAAATCGGGTGAGCGAGGTGGCCACGCTACTAGACCACGGCGACCGATCCACGGCGAATGGTTGTTGTTTAAATAGTCTATCACTGGCCGAGAAAATATAATAAAACGATAAAATAAAACGGGCCAAATTAAGAGTACCCTTAACCGACGAGCATGTATGCATAGGTGTATGGATGTGAAGGAGGCGAGAGAGGTGGGAGGTGTCAGGATCGTGCTAAATGGAAGTCTGTAGTCTCTGTCTACCCCTCTGGGTGACAGGCGTGAGTGTTTATGTATATATGTATATATGTGTATCCAACGGCCCTATCAAACGATCGTTACATTCAACAAAAATTCATTTTGAAATTAACTTGGGTGCACAGCTTGTGGGCTTACCGAGCACAAGAGATAATCATTTCTGTGATTTGTAATATCAGCTCTTGAGAATTTTGCTTCGTCAGTCCATTTTTTTTTGCTGAAAATGACGGTTCTGTCTCACACTTCGAATGATCCACGAAAAAAATACAGATCTTGTTGCAATATCTGTTCCGAGAATGTCTTGGACCCGTTGAAAATGAAAATATCTATTTTCGAAATTCTCCATACATTTCACTTAGACAGTTGTAGTTGCAATCCGTCGAACGCTTAGTCTGGAATCACAGGTTATTAGCCTAAGCACTTCTTCTTCATCAGAGGACCAGTATCCAGTATGTTCTATCTCAGTTACTTACGTAGTAGCTTGCAGTATTTCCGGCCTGTTCCTGAATGGAATGCGTCACTCCATCAATTCGAGAGCAGGCAAGGCCAGATGCCTCTATACAATGGCCTTTTGTATTTGCGCATACGCTATGTTTAAACCACAATAATTCTTAAAGTAATGTGCATACAGCTTAATGTTGTATTGTAGCTAAGCTAAACATCTGTCTAATAAAAAAAAGAGTAATCGGGGTTGTTTCTGCAGTAACTACAATAATTTGCTGATTAGCATAATTTTTTGATATTTATTTGGACTTAAATATTTTTTTAAGATACGAGTATTTGAACCCATTTTTTCATAATGTAAACGATAAACAATATTTTTGCCCACTGAATGATCTTATTTTTATCTCAGTAAGACCAAAACTTTTGAGAGATATGATTTTTTTGTACACACGTAGAGAATATCTCAAGAAAAAAATAAAATGGCTGTCACATAGAGGGGAAGGGGATTAGACTTCAGTGTGTAAGGTATTTGTGTATGTTTTAAAATGGTTGTTATATATGTACCTAGAATATCGTTAGTACGTGACCGGACGCACTGTATATTTAAACTAAATTTGAAATTTGGCTACTCTTTGAAAAATAACTCTGTAGAAAGAGCACAATAGCTGGCAATAGTGGTTCACATCTGTAAAAATTGCGGCTCTAGAACTAATAGTTTAGGCAGAACTATACTTCTACGCTCCATAGGCAGAACATAATTATGTTTGGTGAAATATTTTGCTGTCATTAAAAAATCATTAATTTGAAAACTATTAACGTGTGCGGAAATTAAATATGAATATACACTCTACAGAATATTTCATAAGGTCACCTATTTATTTTCTTCACAACTGACTCCAAAAAAGGAGAAGGTTCTCAATTATACTGTATTTTTATAAGTGTGCTATCTCAGAACTTTTTTCAAAGTAAAACGACTTTAATGATTCTTTTTTATTTAAAAGCAGATGATTCTCATGTGATCATAAATTTGTCAAGTTCTGATCAGTAGTTCTTGAGTTATCATTAATAATGCGTATTTAATTAACTTCGAATACATTGCTGATGTTCTCATTTTATTTAAATTGAAGTCGGTTATACAAAATTTTAAATCTTATGTTAAGACAATTCTTATAGCAATACAATAATAATAATCAACAATTTTCATCCTAAAGGAATTCTCGTCAGCTTAAAAATATATTTAGAACTATTTACTTAGTATAACTATAAATTAAGTACAACACTCAATAGCTCAATACTTAGTATATAAATAATAATTAATTATCCGTACTACCCGCATATATAAATATATATATAAAAATTATATTAAAATTACATAATATACGTCTGGTTTACCTATGAGAATCCATTCAATTCACCACACAGATTAGACGTAGACGATCTTGAAGCTGTAGGATCAAAGATCATACGGCTGATTTTATAAGCCCTTTTATAAGCCCTACGGACGTAGGGCATCAAAAATTGAGTAAGACTCATTTGAGTGTTCCCCTCCACGGAAATCTTTAGTAAAAGGCGAAAGATTTATACGTTATGAAGGGAAACCAGAGTAATTATTAATGTCAGTAAATTGTTATATACATGCTGATTGTGAACAAAACCATAGCGTGTTATATTTCTATTATTATCTTTCGTAAAGCGTCATCTAGTGAAATAACTCAGAAAATCGCAGTCCACTGCTGTGTTCCTGTCTGAGGAGTAAAGAAAGTCAATTAATCTTCCGTTCACCAGATGTCGCTAGTTGACAATTAGGTGAAGTTTTTTGTTACACAATTTGTTGAAGTTTTGAATAAAAATTTATCAGTTTCTATAGAGTATTACATTAATAAACAACGCAATAACTCAATGGATTGCTCTTTAATTTTTGCACATTTTTACCCTTTTTTTAAATTTTCTACTTTTGGAATATTCTGTTTTGGTCTATTTATTTTTAATGTAATAATTATAAAATATAAGTAATAGTAAAGGAAGAAACATTAACCATTACATTTTTCGAAAAAATTACTTCCCTGCTACGGAATCTGTCAAATATTACCACCTCATTTTACGTGGCGCCGCCCTGGTGGCAGAAAAAGTCGTGGATTACATTCATGCATCATGCATCGTGGATTACATGGATTACTTGTTGTTTGAAGTTGGTTGCAGGTGTCTATGAGCTGCATTAGTCACCAGCATGTGGACTGTAAATTCGTTAGTCACTTTTATTTAAAATAAATGTCGAAAGATTTTATAAATTACTGTTTGACGGTCTTGTTCTGCCTTTATCAACAGGTGGCGCAATGAGTATCAAGTTGTGAAATAATTTTTACTCCACCTCAGCGTCACCTATTGCACCCAGATGGTGCTTATTTTGGCACACTAAAATAATTATATTAAAACAATAAAAGCCATTTTGATGGATCAATTGATGGAATTTGTTATACCTTGGCTACAGCGCCACCTATCTGATCGAAGTATGAAGTGTTATGAACGATCAACCATTTGGCACTATCCTGACCAAAACAATAATCTGTTAACAATATCATCAATAAATTTACCAAAGTAGCGACATCTGTGAAGCTATGAGACCAATTATAAATATAATGTTTTCGGAAACAAATTATCGATGGAGCAACCATCAATTGATTTCTTGTGGTCCAAGGCAACTGTCCTCGGCCTGCTCGGTGCTCGTCTCTTTTACATCCTTAAAATATATGAGATATTTATTATCCACTCCTCCTAATTTGGCCCATTTTCAATATATCGATATAATTATTAATTAACCTAAAAGGGGTAATTACTTATACATATACTTTTAAAACACTTTTGCATCCTGTAAAGAGCAATTATTTATATATATATATATATATATAATCGGAATCTCGGAAACTGCTCCAACGATTTTCATAAAATTTTGTGTGCTGGGAGTTTCGGGGGCAATAAATCGATCTAGCTAGGATTTATTTTTAGAAAATGTCTTTTTGTCCGTGTTTTTAGGCAATGAAAAACTGCTACAATATCGTTAGAATAAGAAGGTAAATTTTGACAGTTTATTATTGAATACAAATAGCTTAATTGGTATATTGGGTGGTCTCAAAATCGTAATACCATGGTTCGAGCCCAGACCAACCGACCGACTTATTTTAATATTTTTTTCAAGTTCCTTTCTTTTTAAAATCTATTTTTCGAGCCCTTTTTTAAATATTTTTTAAAAACACGAAAATATAAATTAAACTAATTGCACTCATGATTTTTTATTCAAATAACCAGTTCAGTTTTTTCTATTATGTCGCTAAGATCAAAAAATATTATTCGTATTTGATCAGTATGTAATTTGTATCTAAATATAATTTCCAAAACACACGAATTGAAAAAAACCGAGCGAAAAATACCGAGCAAAGCTCGGTCAACCGGGTACCTACCTATACTAATTATAATTTTGTAATAGAAAGCGTTTTTGCCGCATCAAGAAATTACTAACTCTGATGTCGAAAAACATTACTGGCTTATGCTCGTTCCTAGAACTTACAGAATGTGCATCACTATTATTAATAAAGCTATTTTTTATTTATTTTTTTCGTTTTATGCAATGTTACGTTAACTGTCCCCATACATAATTTTTCGATAACCCCAAATGTCCAAATCATTTTTTGAAATATTCTGTCTCAAATCAATACAAAATAACTAGTTTTGGATAAATATGCCTAATTAATAACAAATCATTCGGTTTATCACACCTTTTACCCGTGTACCGTATTCGGTACACGGACTTGTCGAGTTGCATCGTGTACACTTAGCGTGTACCGTGGACTTGTGAACGGCTAATTATTTAAAAAATAACACCTTTTTTATTAATATTCTTGTTTATGGTCACAAATTGACATTGAGAGAAAGTAAAAAAAACTTAAATTCTGTCAACTGTCAAATGGCTAAGTGAAAACTCACATTCAAAGTTTTTGTCCGTTTGAGCGCCAATTTTTTGTTGTGTGAATAATATTAGGTAAATATGAAGAACTTTGACGACGAAGATATCAGGAGAGTGTTGGAGGAGTCTGATGGTGAAGATTCACTGTTCAATGTGTATGACCATGAGGAAATTGTCGAGGACGATGATGTGGACATTGATGAACGTGAAGAAGAGACAGTCGAAGCAATCGCCAGAGAGGTACAACATGATGGAGAAATGGGTGAGTCTGCACACTCTGAAATACTTAGTGGACAACATGAAAATGCTGAAATACCAGACAGCCCCATCACCATCAGTAACCAAGTCAAGACGAATACAATCACAAGTGTCTCTTGACTCCGAGTGGCAGGTAGTTGTAAAAGATTTATCGAGAAAACCTTTCACAGGGCACGACGAACCAACTCGCCAAAATCTGCTTTTCGATGTAAACACAGATCTTTATACAATTTTCCGAAAAATTGTTGATGATGATGTCCTAAAACTAATGGTGCAACAAACAAATTTGTATGCCGCGCGGCTTTTACAAGAACTGGCAAAGCCACACAGTCGCAAAAAACGATGGTCAGATGTCGACGAATCAGAAATGCTAAAATTTCTTGGTGTAATTCTACTAATGGGTATAATACCCTTCCCAACGATAGAATCATACTGGAAAAAGGATGTAATTTATTATCATCCATTACTTCATAATATCAAAATGTCGTACAACAGATTCACACTTATACTAAAATGTTGGCATTTTTGCGACAATGAAGCGTCTGGACGCGAAAATGATCGACTATACAAGATTAGCCCCTTGCTAGATCTTATTATTGATAATTCTAGATCGATTTACACGCCTGGGGACACCATAGTTGTTGACGAATCAATGGTGCATTTTCGTGGCAGATTAATTTTTCGCCAGTTTATACCGTCGAAGTCTCATAAATACGGGATCAAAATATATAAGTTATGCACTGTAGATGGCTTTACGTGGGGATACCAAAAATATAGCGGACAGAGCGAACAGCTTTTTGGTTTAGATACAACAGGAACTATTGTTGTAAAATTAGCAGAAGGACTGTTAGATGAAGGTCGTTGTATGGTCACGGATAATTACTACACGAGTGTGCCTCTTGCAGAATTTCTTCTCTCTCGTAATACAGATATCTGTGGTACTCTAAATAAAAAAAGGAGAGGTATACCAAAAGATGTCACAAATGCTGCCTTGCAAGTAGGAGAAATTGCCGTCAAACAAAAAAAAAATGAAAATATCACTGTTCTAAAATGGAAAGACAAGCGAGATGTTTGTATATTGTCGACTTGTCACGTCAAAGGACTATCTATGACGACAGCACGCACTCCAAAGCTGAAGCCTGATATGATACTTACCTACAACAAAGCTAAAAAAGGAATAGACATTGCTGATCAACTGTCCAGTTACAACATGCCTGTTAGAAAAACGTTAATCTGGTACAAAAAAAGTTGCAACGGATTTGCTGGCCATAGCAGTGATAAACTCTATGATAATTTTCAATGAATTACACCCTGAAAAAAAAAGAAAGGTACACTGTTTTGGCGGCAAATGAAGTAATTGTGAAGAGATTATTGCAAATTGAACCTGCTCAGCAGCAAACACGTGAAGCGCAACTACAGACGAGCACTTCACGTTTCCCCGTAAGACAAAGGCAATACGAAAGCCTGTCTTCATCATCAAGTACACTGGTAGAATCTAATAGGATTTCACATTTTTTAGAAAATATTGGCAAAGTAAGGGGCATAACTGTACGAAGACGATGTGTTGGGTGTTACAAAAAACTTATCGATCAGGGAAGTCTTCCAAAGGATGCGAGAGCTAAAGCTAAAAGAGTGACAACGCACTGTAATAAATGTAAAAAGACGTACTGTCTTCAATGTTATTCTGAAGTTCTTTTACATAAATAAAGCCTTTTTACTAATAAACAGTTGCTTTTTTTGCCGGGTACTGGCACATTTACATTTCGAAAAAAAAGAATATATCATGTTTTCCGTTTTTTCTATTCATTGGTGTCCTGTTGACAAGTCCTGATAAATAGAGCAACATAACACACAAGTCCATGAAGTTAGAGCGCATAGAAAGACACAGGGGCGAGTGTACCATTTACGGTACACGGACGTGATGGACCCACGGCGGCGTGTACTGTATTCGGTACATTGGACAGCTAACGTGTTAATAAAGCTATTTTTTAATTTTTTTTCGTTTTATGCAATGATATTATAAGTAAAAGGGTAATAGCATTGATTTTATATATCTTTTATACAGAAATATCTACGCATGCAGCATACTAAGATCAATGCTGTTTTCCAAGTTTGTTGAAATTATCAAAACTTAAAATTTACGGCCACCCTAATTCCATTAAAAAAAACTTAGGAATTATTTATTATTCATATATTCACCTTTTATGCAATCGATTAACCTAAAAGGAGTAATTACTTTACATATACTTTTAAAACAACTTTTGTATAATTATAATTTTGTAATAAAAAGCGTTTTTGCCGCATCAAGAAATTAATTACTAATTCTGTAGTCGAAAAACATTACTGGCTTATACATGTTCCTAGAACTTACAGAATCACTATTATTAATAAAGCTATTTTTAATTTTTTTCATGATATTTTAATCCAAATGTAAACTTTTCTCTATACAAATGTTATTTTGCAATAACCGGAAAAATTTGAGGAGATTCAGAATAAGTAATACAGGAAAATGTTAAACAAATATTATAATTAAAAAATCTCAAACATTCTGTCCTTTTTATCTTTTAAATTCGAAATGCGTGGTAATGCATCATTTTAACTTACATTTTATCCGATCACGGAACTTGTAAAAAGGAGGGTTAAGTATTTTCCTTCCTTTAGATGTTAATTTCTATTTTATACGATTGATGTGTTTTATTATTGAAATAAATAAAATATGTATAAATAAAGTCTAAAGTTAGTTTTAACCTTTGAATAATAAACAGCACTACGCCGACAAAACATTTTACTATTTAATCTTACGTAAAACACAAAAAGTAGTGAAATTTTGCCTTTAGTTGCTAATGAATTAAATAATATAATTAAATAACTTATTTTTAAATTGTTATTAACTTAAATACATAATTGATTTGAAAATTATAAAGTACATTCTTTTAGTTGTTTTTTATTTCATTTTAGTAGATATATAAATTAATTTTATAGTAATTAATTACTACTTAACTAGATAATAGTGATGTCACTATCGAAAATCGTAAAATTAACGATATTTGGAAGTTTAATTTCTAATTTATAAAAGAGTTTGGTACACAGGCTGCACTAAAAGTATCGGGAATGGAATATTTCCACTGTTCCTGTCATAAAATCTTTTTAATTGAAAACTCCTTGGTTTTAAAAATCCAATACCATTTATTTATTTAAAAAAAGATTCTTGGTCTTGTCACAAGCTTGTTTAGTCGTTGAGAAAATGGATTTGACTCGAGAAAATTCAAGAGCGATGATTTATTATGACTTTCGAAGTCGTTTAACACAAAAACAGTGTGTTGAGCGTATGATTTCTGCATTTGGTGATAAAGCCCCATCCAAAACCATAATTTATCGCTGGTTTGCTGAATTTCAATGTGGACGTGTCAAGCTCAGTGATGATCCCCGTCAAGGTCGCCCAAAAACTGCAGTCACCCAAGAAAACGTTGATGCTGTGCGTAAGCTGATTGAGGAAGATCGACATGTGACATACCGCGAAATTCAGGCAACTTTAGACATTGGCATGAGTCAAATACAAATATCTTGCATGAACAATTAGGTGTAAAACAGTTGTTTTCCCGGTGGATACCGCATTCGCTCTGTGAAGAGCAAAAAGCGGCTCGCGTTACTTGGTGCGTCAGAACTCTCGAAAGATTCCACGCAGGATCCTCAAATGCTGTGTACAACATCGTATCAGGTGACGAATCCTGGATATACGCGTACGAACCCGAAACAAAAAACCAGTCACGAGTTTTGGTGTTCGAAAATGAGTTAAAGCCAACAAAACTTGTTCGTTCACGGAGTGTTGCAAAAAAAATGGTGGCCACGTTTGTCTTCAAAACCGGCCATATTACGACTATTCCTCTTGAGGGACAAAGAACGGTTAATGCAGAATGGTATGCTAGCATTTGCTTTGCTACAGGTCGTTTCTGAACTCCGTAAAGAAAACTGCAACCGCCGCATCATCCTCCATCACGACAATGCGAGTTCTCACACCGCACACAGAACAAAAGAATTTTTAGAGCAAGAAAACATAGAATTATTAGACCATCCGCCGTACAGCCCCGACCTAAGCCCTAATGATTTCTATACTTTCCCTAAAATGAAGAATAAATTGCGTAGACAGAGATTTTCATCACCTGAAGAAGCTGTGGATGCCTACAAAACGGCCATTTTGGAGACCCCAACTTCCGAATGGAATGGTTGCTTCAATGATTGGTTCCATCGTATGGAAAAATGTGTCAAATTTCACGGAGAATACTTCGAAAAGCATAAATACATTTTTAAATAGTAATGTTGCGTCACTTCCTTGATTCCCGAAATTTTTAGTGCCGCCCTCGTAGGTATATATTTTATTTATAAATAAACTAATAAAAATTGCAATTAGCACAAAACTTTTATTATCCTTATAGTTTAAATCAAAAAATATTTATATATTACATTGGTCGGATCTTAGTATTTACAACATCATGCATTAGTCGATTATTGCGTGAAATGGCGGTCAATCATAAAATTTTACAGCGTTAGTTGACTATACCATGATTCATGATATAGCTTAACCAAATCAATGAATAGAGATTGTTTGGCGATATTAACTACTAGATACGATATTGCTATTTCGATAAATTATTGTTATATCGTGAAATAATTTCATTACACACCGCTCGCAACGCTGATTGCGTATATTTGACAAAAGCCGAATTTTTAATAGATTCTACATCACTGTATGCCAAATTTATGCATTATATAAATGTTCGCGGCTTTGTTAAGCTATTCAGCCACTCCAGTCGCACCTGAACTTATTATGGCTGAGTAATAGACGGTACAGTTTTGGTTTTCATTGTTTTAATCTAATAATAGCGCAATCTACTTACTGCTTAATAAACTAATAATAAGTGCATTAGTGGCCAAATTAAACACAATTCTATTAAATACTCATTGCTGCAGCATCAGAATTGTCAAACTTAAAATATATAGATCATCTCACGGTAGAAAGTAATTGTGTTCCGTGATCTAGAACGGTGGCAATGTTTGCATGATTTATTATAATTGTCAATGTAACCAAAATTGTTAACAAAACTGTGTACACGAAACTGGGATTAAGAGAGAAGTTCTTTGGTTTGATATGTCGTGTGTCTATCGGCACAGCAATATTTCACCAATTTGTTTTTGTATCAAGTCAGATATAAGTATAAAGTAATTGAAAATTAAGTACACAGTGAGATTTTTATCCGTAATTGATGGAATAGTTCGTGATACCGTCGACGCAGTCTTTTTTACTTTTAATCCAAGGATAGGCCCATCTAAATATTTTACTCATAACTTTCTCATACAAGAAAACTAGCGCATCTGTCATAATACAAACGTCATATCAAAACACGATGAAACCAGGGTCGAATTTCGTAGTATAATTATCCTAATTGTACAATTATTTCATAGTTTGTAGTATAATAGTATCGTAATAATACTAAGCGAAAATACCATAACTTTACCTAAACGACTTGTATTATTATTGGGTCCTTTTACATTTTAATATTAACCCTACGATATCGATTATTTCTGTATTATAATATTATATTATAAAATTAGAATTAGCTCCTTTTCTGGTCAATCGATGCTCGATCGATGCATTTATGTTGCATCCTTGATACAACTATAATGAGGGGCTACCACGATAAAAACTCTATGCTCCAGAAGCAATCGGTTTGAAAACAGAATTTCAATATTTATTAATATTTTATGAATCAGATTTTCAGATTCAATTAAGCAGATATGATTTATTTTGTACGCTTTTGGTTTTACCCTTATTGAATACAAAATTTAACTTACATTGAGTTCTTTAAACAAAAATTAAACAGAAATAAAAATAAAACCGTCAAAAAACGAAACGTATAGATAAACTAGACGAGTGACTATGGCGCGTGACGCCAAAATCCCGGCACATGGGAAAAATAAACATGAAACGTCAAACATGATATAATTTTTTTTAATTGTATAAATTTATTTTCCATGTACAATATTTTTGAGGGTCTGAATCCAACCCTGGCCTAATCTTGGTAACGTAACTAAACTAACTGTAAAATAAAACTTTAAAAATGCGTTTTTATAATAATTTAATTGTAACAAAATTAATATAAGGTTATTTACCGATGATTTGATACCCTATTTGTTTTTTAAATCTTGGTATCGTAATTTTTGCATTCTTTTACCACGCAACTAGACATATTTATGACAGGCAAATATGTCCTGCGCGCGCACCACTGTCGACCGATTCGTGTTGGT